CTGTCACTTCTGCAGTGAGGAGAAGGCCAAGCTGCTTCGGGAGATGATGGCCAAAATTGAGGACAAGAACGAGGTGCTGGAGTAAGTGCGAGCTGGGGGTGGGACATCTGTGGGGCCCGGTGCTGCCTGCAACAGGGGGAGTGGCAGTGAAACATGTGCTTCCACTGGGTTTCCTAGATTTGCTTTCCTTGCCTGGGGCCTCATGGGCCAGCTGTGTAAGATACAGCTGTCTTGAGAAAAGGACGTCCCGGGGCAGGCTCTGTGGGGCCAGACCAGACCCAGTGCTGGTCAGGTTCTTAGACCTGGCTTCCACCGTAGGGGGCTCACCCAGGTGGGCTCCTTTTCCCATGTGCGGAGTCAGCAGCCAGCTCCCATTGGTCCTGTGGTCCCCGCAGCCAGTTCATGGATTCAATGCAGCTGGATCCGGAGACAGTGGACAACCTTGATGCCTACAACCACATTCCGCCCCAGCTCATGGAGAAGTGTGCGGCGCTCAGTGTTCGGCCCGACACCGTCAGGAACCTTGTCCAGTCCATGCAAGGTGAGCCAGGGTGAGAGCAAGCAGCTGGAGGGTGGGAACACGAAACTCATTTGCTGGCACCTCTCGTTCATCAAGCATGGGAACTGTACCTCTCAAAGCATCAGGTGCAAGCACCCATCCCTCGGGATTGCTGTACCCTGTGCCTCTGTATTGCTCAGTACACATCGGGCCATGACCATGCAGGCACTTCAGTCTCCTGGGGGGCGAGCCAGAGTGGGTGGCTGGTCTGTCCCCCTGAGGAACCGCCCTTTCTCTCCCCTGTACACACCCCAAGTGCTGTCAGGTGTGTTCACGGATGTGGAGGCCTCTTTGAAGGACATCAGGGACTTGCTGGAGGAGGATGAGTTGCTAGACCAGAAGTTGCAGGAGGCCGTGGGCCAGGCAGCGGCCAGCGCAGCAGTCTCCAAGACCGAGCTGACAGAGGTGAGGCGAGAATGGGCCAAGTACATGGAAGTTCACGAGAAGGCCTCCTTCACCAACAGTGAACTGCACCGCGCCATGAATCTGCACGTCGGCAACCTGCGCCTGCTCAGCGGGCCACTCGACCAGGTCCGGGCTGCCCTGCCCACACCAACCCTCACCCCAGGTAAGCTTGGCCCATTTTGTCCCCAGGGGGAGAGGCAAAGAGCTGAGTGGGGGGTTTCTCTGGCCTCGCTAATCACTTCTGTCCTCAGAGGACAAGGCTGTGCTGCAGAACCTGAAGCGCATTCTGGCCAAGGTGCAGGAAATGCGGGACCAGCGTGTATCCCTGGAGCAGCAGCTACGTGAACTGATCCAGAAGGATGACATCACCGCCTCACTGGTTACTACAGACCACTCAGAGATGAAGGTGGGTGGGCAGGCAGGGTGGAGGGGTCTGACTCTGGCTCCTCCTTCAGGTGGGGAGGGTTGAGTGGTCACTCTCTACCTCCAATACACTCCCTTAGAAGCTATTCGAGGAGCAGCTAAAGAAGTATGACCAGCTGAAGGTGTACCTGGAGCAGAACCTGGCTGCCCAGGACAACGTCCTGCGAGCCCTGACAGAGGCCAACGTGCAGTATGCAGCGGTGCGGAGGGTGCTCAGTGAGCTGGACCAAAAGTTAGTGCTTCACCTTGTGCTCTTGCCCAGAGTCCTACCTGGAGCTCAGCTCCCACTGCTTACCTCCTGCTGGCCTTGTGCCCGCCAGGTGGAATTCTACGCTGCAGACCCTGGTGGCGTCCTATGAAGCCTACGAGGACCTGATGAAGAAGTCCCAGGAGGGCAAGGACTTCTACGCAGACCTGGAAAGCAAGGTGGCCACTCTCCTGGAACGGGCACAGTCTACCTGCCAGGCCCGTGAGGCTGCCCGCCAGCAACTCCTGGACAGGTAGGTGTGGCTGCCGCGCTAACTGTCTAGACGTGGGCTGGGCTGATGGGGGTCGGGCTCCACTTCTTCCTTCCCTTGACCATAGGGAGCTGAAGAAGAAACCGCCACCACGGCCCACAGCCCCAAAGCCACTGCTGCCCCGTAGGGAGGAGGGTGAGGGAGTGGAGACAGACCTGCCTGAGGAGCTGCGCAGCCTGCCCCCTGACATGGTGGCAGGCCCACGGCCACCCGACGCCTTCCTGGGCACTATTGCCCCTCGCCACTTCCCTCCTGGCCCCTTCCCCAGCTCCACAGGGCCAGGACCCCACTATCTCTCAGGCCCCTTAGCCCCTGGTGCCTATTCGGGACCCACCCAGATGTTGCAGCCCAGGGTCCCCCAAGCCCCAGGTCACCCTACAATGGCCATGGCACCTGGCCCTGCCATTTACTCAACCCCTGCTTACACACCAGAGCTAGGCCTTGTGCCTCGGTCTTCCCCCCAGCACTGTGTGGTGAACAGTCCCTATGGGGGGGTAGGGCCACCCCCACCAGTTGCAGGTCTGCCCTCAGCTCCACCTCCCCAGTTTTTAGGCCCTGAATTGGCCATGGGGGTTCGGCCTGCCACCACCACAGTAGATAGTATTCAGGCCCCCATCTCCAGCCACACAGCACCTCGGCCAAATCCAACTCCTGCTCCTCCCCAGGCCTGCTTTCCAGTGCTCCCACCACAGCCGCTGCCTGCATCCTATACCTCCTACCCACTAGGGGCCAAGCAGGCCCTCCCGACCCCCCCAGCCCAGCACCACTTTCCTCCTGGGATTCCCACAGGTTTCCCAGCCTCAAGGATTGGGCCCCAGCCTCAGCCTCTCCCCACCCGAGCAGCATTTGGACCCCAGCCCCCTCAGCAGCCCCTTCCACTCCAGCATCCACACCTCTTCCCACCCCAGCCTCCAGGACTTGTACCCGCACAGACCCCTTACCCGTTTGCCCCTCAGCCTGGTGTCCTGGCACAACCACCACCCCCTGTGCATGCCCAGCTCTACCCAGGCCCCTCTCAGGACCCCCTGCCCCCCCACTCGGGGGCTCTGCCTTTTCCTAGCCCTACACCACCTCAGCCGCCCCATCCCAACCTGGCCTATGGTCCAGCCCCTGCCCCGAGGCCCCTGGGCCCTCAGGCAGCCCCTCTTTCCATTCAAGGCCCCCCGCCTACTGGCCAGCCCACCCCCAGTCCTCACCTGGTGCCTTCACCAGCCCCATCCCCAGGGCCTGGCTTGGTCTCTCCTCGGCCCCCTGCAACAGAGCCACCCCCACGCCGAGGCACGGCAGCCGCAGATCTGCTCTCCTCCAGCCCCGAAAGCCAGCATGGTGGCACTCAGCCTCCTGGGGGTGGCCAGCCCCTGCTGCAGCCTACTAAGGTGGATGCTGCTGAGGGCCGGCGGCCACAGGCCCTGCGTCTGATTGAGCGGGACCCCTACGAGCACCCGGAGAGGCTGCTGCGGTTGCAGCAGGAGCTGGAGGCATTTCGGGGCCAGTTGGGTGATGCCGGGACTCTGGACACTGTCTGGCGGGAGCTGCAAGAAGCACAGGAACAGGATGCCCGTGGCCGTTCCATCGCCATTGCCCGCTGCTACTCACTGAAGAACCGGCACCAGGACATCATGCCCTACGACAGTAACCGCGTGGTGCTGCGCTCTGGCAAAGACGACTACATCAATGCCAGCCGTGTGGAGGGGCTCTCGCCATACTGCCCGCCCCTGGTGGCCACCCAGGCCCCACTGCCTGGCACAGCCGCCGACTTCTGGCTCATGGTACATGAGCAGAAGGTGTCGGTCATTGTCATGCTGGTGTCTGAAGCGGAGATGGAGAAGGTGAGAGGGAGACGTGGTGGCGGGGGGAGGGGGGGGTTGCCCAGGTAGGACCCTAGAAAACACTCCTAACTACATCTTGTTTGCCTCTCAGCAAAAAGTGGCACGTTACTTCCCCACCGAGAGGGGCCAGCCCATGGTGCACGGTGCCCTCAGCCTGGCACTGAGCAGTGTCCGCACCACTGAGACCCATGTGGAGCGGGTACTGAGTCTGCAGTTCCGTGACCAGAGCCTCAAACGCTCACTTGTGCACCTCCACTTTCCTACTTGGCCTGAGTTGTATGTCTGCCACCCTGGGTGGTGGTAGGAGGGGTGGTGGGGGCCTCCAGTCAGGTCTGTTCAGGGACCCTGCTCTGTCCCTGCAGAGGCCTGCCGGACAGCCCCAGCAACCTCCTACGCTTCATCCAGGAGGTGCACACACATTACCTGCACCAGCGGCCCCTGCACACACCCATCATTGTGCACTGCAGGTAAGGTGGCGGTGGGAGGCTGCCTGAGGATCCTCCTCTGGGGCTCTAGCCTTACGCCCCTTTCCTGCCACAGCTCCGGAGTGGGCCGCACGGGAGCCTTTGCGCTGCTCTATGCGGCTGTGCAGGAGGTGGAGGCTGGAAATGGGATTCCTGAGCTGCCTCAGCTGGTGCGGCGCATGCGACAGCAGAGGAAACACATGCTGCAGGAGAAAGTGAGGGTCAGGGCAGGTGGGTGCTGGGAGGGGTCCTCTGCCCAGAATGACAGGACCTCCCAGCTGACCAGGCCAAATGTACCTCTGCAGCTGCACCTCAAGTTCTGCCATGAGGCAGTGGTGAGACACGTGGAGCAGGTCCTGCAGCGCCATGGCGTACCCCCTCCGTGTAAGCCCTCAACCGGCGCAGGCGTCAACCAGAAGGTGAGGAAGGAGCCCCGAGGCTGCTGGGATCACCACAGCCTTCTGGACCCCTCTCTCCATCCACTTCTGTCTTCTCAGAATCACCTTCCTCAGGATTCCCAGGATCTGGTCCTTGGCGGGGACGTGCCCATCAGCTCCATCCAGGCCACCATCGCCAAGCTCAGCATCCGGCCTCCGGGAAGCTTAGATTCCCCAGCTGCCAGCCTGCCGGGCCCAGCAGAGTCCCCAGGCCTGCCACCAGACAGCCTGCCAGAGTCCACCCAGCTCCCGTCCTCCTCTCCACCCCCTCTCACTTCACCGCTGCTCGAGGCCCCCCAGCCTGAAGAAGAGCAGCCGGTACCTGAGGCCCCCACCTCAGGGCCCCCCTCCTCTTCTCTGGAGCTGCTGGCCTCCCTCACCCCAGAGGCCTTCTCTCTGGACAGCTCCTTGAGGGGAAAGCAGAGGATGAGCAAACAGAACTTTCTGCAGGCCCATAACGGACAAGGTCTGCGGGCTGCCCGGCCCACTGATGACCCCCTCAGCCTTCTGGATCCACTCTGGACACTCAACAAGACCTGAACAGGCTTTGCCTACCTGGTTCTTACACTACATCATCTCCCCTGTCTGCTCACCCAGCAGGACCTCTGAGGTGGGCTTGGTCTCTCACTCCCATTCCTGCTGCCTTCAGCCCTGCCTGGCCCAGCCCGCACCCCTGTGGGGTGGAGATGCATTGCGGGCCTTGGGTCAGGTTCTGCTCCTTTGTGGGACCTGACATTTTTCAGCCTTTGCTATTGAAGAAATAAAAATGACCTGTTCTGTGGCCAGTGTCTGCCCATTGCTGCCTGGGGGAAGAAGCCGGAGCCCTGACCGCACCGCTGGCTCGAATGAGCTGGGGTGGGGATGGAGGTAGGAGGACTTTGGAGCTGAAATGGCTAAGGAGCTCTCTAGCGTTGGCCTGCTGAGCCGCCTCCAACCTGTAACTGTCCCTGTGCACATCTTCCGTGGCTCCAAGTGCCGAGGTTTCGGTACAGGGAGAAAGTGATGCAGGAGTTCCTCTAAGGGAAAAGGCACATGGCTCACAAGGCCCCTGGCAAGGGTGATTTAAAAAAAAGTTTAATATTACAGTTATGAGGCAGCTTCCAGAAGGCTCAGCTCCCCCCCGCAAGTCTAGGTCCAGTGCATTGGCCCCACACAGCAGCCCTGCCCAGGGAGTCACAGCCGCTGCCACCCTCAGTCCAGCTTCTCCAGCACAGAGGGCACATACACCAGACTGAGCTCACTGCCGAAGTTGCAGACGATGGCGGCATTTTCCAGCACCAGGATCTGGCGGGCGGGCTGGGCCTCACTATTCTTTCCCAGGTAGACTGTCTGTAACAGGTCCCCGTAGTTTAGGTCCCAAAAGGAGACACAGCCCTGGCCACCGGTCACCAGCAGGTTGTCTGAGATGACACCCAAGCTTGCACCGCAGCCCAGGTCCTGAAGGCAAGGACATGACAGGCTCAGTGTCTCGAACCCTTGCGTAAGTCACCAAGCACCCTGTGGTCCCCAGCCTGCCTACCTGCTGAATAGAATAGAGCTTGATGCCTGTGCTGCGATCCCAGATGCTGATGAGGTCATCCAGGCCACTGCTAATGACGCAGGTGGTGGTGCAGGTGAGAGAAGTGACATCCCCGCGGTGAGCAAACATGTGGCTGACGCGACTGCCAGTCAGCACATCCCACAGGCAGATGGCCCCATCTTGTCCTCCACTGGCCAGCACCATGGTCTAAGGGAACAGGCCCAGGACAGCTGGGTTACTGGTGGAATACCTTTGTTGACAACCTTGCCCTGGTGGGTGGGGGATCCTCATTCTGCTTCCCAAGATCAAAGACCAAGGGCCTGTCTTGGTACCCCTATATCTGCTCACAGCCACCATGGGGCCCCCCCTTACCTGGTCAATGTACACAGTCGTGATGGCCCCTGAGTGGCCCTGTAGCGTGAAGAGGCAACATGAGTCCTCCAGACGGAACACCTAGGACAGGAACAAGTTCTGGTCTCTAGGGTTTTCCAAGTTACCTATTGGCCAAGAAATCCCTCCCGCAGGGTTTTATTTTAAAGATTTTATTTTTGTGTAGAAGAACTCAGGTGCAGGCCAGAGGTGCAAGGTGTCAGGATTTACCATCGAAAGTGGGGAGCAAAACAGGCAGATCTACAGAAATCGCTGCTGAGGGGAGCAGCAGGGGTGACAGGAGAGGACTGCTGCGCCATGTGGGTCAGCTCCCTGGCTGGGGATCAGGATGGAACTCAGGCTGTGGAGGGGACAGCACTGATACTTAACCCCTAGGCCACCAGGAAGGACCCCCACAGTGTTATGTTAAGCAAAGTTAAGTCAGGAGAAACAAGATTCCTGGATGATTTCACTTGTGGAATAGAGAAGCCAAATGGAGGAACAGAAAACACAAACAAACACAAACCCTAGGAACATGAAGATGGAGGATTAAGGGTGCTTTGGGTAGCGGGCACAGTGTTGTTAATCTAAAGAGGTGTGAACCTACACCCCCAAATCCTACAGTGTTGTAAACCACGGTTTCCACAATAAAAATGGAATTAAAAAAAAAATCCTGTCGTTCACCCAGGACACCTATAGCCTCTTCCCAGACTAGCGGTGAAACGTTCCCCATCCCCACAGCCAACACTCACTCTCAGCGTGTGGTCTTGGCTACCAGTCACGAGGCGCCCTGCAGCAGCCTTCAGGGCTGTAATGGGTTTCTGGTGCGCACAGGGCACTGTATGGGTCAGGCGACAGGCCACCCTGTCACTGCTGCTGTACACAGGGGATGCGGGCGAACTGCCCCGTCCTGGAGTCCCTGGTGACAATAGGCAAAGTGAGGGGGTCTTTGAGAAGGCACCTTGCAGGCAGCCCCTGCATGTCATCCACTCCCTCTAACCTCGGAACTGCAGGGGGCTGAGGGATGTGTGGGTCTCCAAGGAGAAGAAATCAAGGGAGCCATTGAGCCGGGCAGCCACGATCCTGGAAGAGAAGAGCACTGCCAGGGTGACTCTCCCTCAGAGCCCCCAGTCTCCGGGCTGAGTGCCGTGGGCACCTGACAGACTCAGCTCCACTGGGCATGTGGAAACAACAGAGACAGAAGAGAAGGGACCAAGCCAGTTCCAGAAAGGATCAGGGTCAAGTAGCAGCACAGGTGCTGAGGGAACAGATGCTGGGGCTGGAAGGCCCCAAGGTTGCAACGCTTATTAACCTCTCTGTGCCTCAGTTTCTTCATCTGTAAAAGGCAGAAAACAGGATCTGCCTCACAGAGCTAATATGCATAAAGTAGTACCTGGGAAACAACATGTAAGACTAAAAGAATAAAAAAAAAAAAACCCAACCACCCAAAATAAGCTGAGGGAGGACTCCCAGCTAAAACTTGGAGTTGAAGGAAAGATCTCTGAGAAGGGAAACAGGACCTAGGGTGGGGCTGTGTTTTTGAGCCACGGGAGGTGCCACCTCCATGACACAGAAACACCTTCAAGCACCACCCACTACATTCTCCTTTTCCACAAAGAAAGATTTTCTTCATTGCTCAAGAACTCCTAGGGCACAGACAGACCGAGACGGGGATATCTATCCAGGGGACCCAGAAGGCAATGCATGTCCACAGCCTCCACCTGTGAACAAGAAGGGCCCGCGCCTCCTAGGACAGGCGAGCTGAGAAAGCCCTGATGTCTGAGCCTGACTTTCATGGTCACCAGGAACCTTGACCTTGATGCTTAGGCTGATACCAGGGCTTTTCCTAAAACAAAGGCAAACAGTAGGGGAGACTTCCCAAGTGTGGGGGAACCTGCTGCACCTCCCCCTGCAGTGACCTTTAGGGCTAATGGCTTTCCCCACGGACCGGCTGGGCAAGGAACCAGCACGCAGGGGGAGAACAGCAAACCCCCCCGAAGACATAGATAAGACGGAAGCCTGTTGAAAGATAACGACCCCAAGGAGCCACTACAGGAATGCTGACCTCACGGAACCTTATCTCGCCTTCTCAAGGCCCACAAACTTTATTCTAATACAACTGTCTCTCTAAAATCTTTTCTCTTTCTCTGTCTAAAAAGGTCATTGGTTGCTGATTAAAAAAGAACATACGAAATCTAATAGCTAGGCTGATTCAAATGAAACGTCACTAAACTCTGTGTATTAATAGAACTGTTAGCTTAATCATTTCTCTGTTGCATGCTTAGCCTTGTTAGTATTAATCTTAATGATAAAAATATTACATTGTGAAAAGTAAAACTCACCCATGTTAATGTATAGTAATTTAGTGGTAGTGAGTAGTTAAAACAAAAAAGTAATCACATGAAACAAAAAGAAAAACTAATAGCCTAACTACTTAGGAATGCGCCTGGGTCCAGATGTAAATCACTGCCCTGTCAATGATAAGCTAAACCTATGAGCAAGCTGATTTCTTCACTGATGTTCGCCATTCCTGTGCCTTTAGAAAACATATTTATACTGGTCACCAACTCAAAGAAAATTACACTCAGATTTTCACTCTCTTGAAGTGTGTCTGTCTGTCATTTCTTTCGCCGAATCCTTGACCACCCTGCACGCTTCTCTCAACCCTGAGACGGCCTCATCGTTCGCTGCTGTGCTGGTCCGCGGCAGGAACCCAATGAGCTGGGCCAGGCCGGAGGGTGGCATATCAGCCAAGCCCTGCGTAAAAAGCCTAGCGGTAGCAGGAATGACAGCTGCCAACAAGCAGAAACAGTAAAGGGCAAGGGGTGCCCTTCACCCACCCCAAGAAAGAAAAATGGTTCCAGCTCTAGCTTAGATGGTGCCACAAGTGGTCAGAGACCTGGAAGAGAGAGTGTGGGAGGCACCTGGGCATGGGCAAGAGCTGGGGGGCTGAGAAGCCCTAGGAGCATGCGCACACGGAGCCCGGGGAACACCTACAGCCCAGAACAGGGCGTGAGTGGGAAAGAAGTCTTAACACAACAGGTTTTTTATAAAATGCAACCAAGAAACCCAGAAGGGGCAGTATTGGCAATCTAAGAGAAACCTGGACTTGAGAAAGGTGCGAAAGGAGACAGCATTAACCGCTGTCACGGGCTAAGGCCCTGGGAGCTCATGGTTTGCTGGGCCCTATTCTAGGTGCTTCACATATTAACTTTGAGTTTTCACCCCTCCCTTCGAGGTGGACTACCCTCTGGTTAGCAAGAAAGGAATTCCAAATCCCACGAGTGAAGGGGAGTCAGGACCAAACCTCAGTGTGTGGCCTGACCACAACGGGAAGTCACCCTGGCTCTCACCTCTTGTCCAGGAAGACCAGGGCTGTGATGCCTGAGGAGACCTCGTCGCTGCTGCAGTGGAGCATGCCCTCGATGGCGTCCCACACCTGTAAGCCCAGGGGAAGTGAGCACCTGCTAGCTGGGACGGCCCCGGGTGCCCTATGTGAATGGCCCCTCTGCCCAGTCCAGTCCCTCTGCCCACCTCCAGCCGACCACTGCTCCGCCCCACCACGATGAGGTTGCCCTGCAGCTCCAGGCTCCAGATGGAGCCATCTGCACTGGGGGTCCAGGCGAGGGAAGGGGAGCCCTTCTCGGGAGGAGAACCCCCCTCATCTTCAGGGGCCTGTGACAGCACAGGCCCAGGTGAGGCAGGGCGCAGGGTTGGTGTATGGACGGAAGCCAGGTCCTCCTCCTGGTACACCCGCTGCACCAGGCGGCTGAAGTCATAGCCCGGGGAGTCCCGAGCACGGCCGCAGGTGGCCCGGTGCCGGGGCTCGGGCAGAGTAGGCTCTGAGGGCCGCAACTGTGCAGAGAAGTTGGTGTCGATCAAGCAGGTGAGGTCCGGCTGGTCCCCGAAGAGGGAAGGTGGTGGAGGGCCCCGGGGGCGGTGCCGCAGTGGAGGGCTGTCCCCGGGCTCCTCTGGACCACCCTTCCCGCCGTCTGACAACCGTTCCCAGCTCTCCTGAGCCTCGAATACGCTGCCAACACCACTGTCCCGGCGCTGCCTGCTGGGGGTCCCGGGAGGATGCGGTGAGGAGGGGTGTGGTGGGGGGCAGGTCTGGGGGCAGGGGGTGGGGCATACATGTGGGCTGCACCTACCCTGGGCGCGGGATGCGTGTGAGGCAGTCCCCAGTCTGAGCGTCCCACACACAGACGTGGCCTGCCAGGCAACAGCTCACCAGCAGCATGCCATCGCTGGCCAGACACTCGATGTCCTGTGGAAGGGCACCATGGGTATGGGCACAGGCATGGGCACGGATGTCAGCGTGTCCTGAGCCCCAGGCCCCTACCCCTTGCTCACCATAAGGTGCCCACGCAGCACCAGGGGCACAATCTCCGTCTCTGGTGGCGTGTAGCCGTAGTCATCACAGGGCAGCTCCCCACGTCGCCGCCGGCCGGGCCCGCCACCAGGCTGCCCGTAGTTGCGCGGGCAGAGCACACGGTAAAGGCAGAGCAGCAGCAGCACAAGCACGATGCCTGTGGCGAGGCCAAGCGCTGCTACCCTGCGTAGAGTTGGAAGTGGTGAGGGGGGCCCGGTCCCTCCCACCCCCAACCTGCTCTCTGGGGCCTTACTTGTACAGGGTGATGTCTCTGTGGGGCTGCACCACGCCTGGTCCCTTGGGACCAGCCTCCCAGAGCCCTCCCGGTTGGGGCCCTGGTGGAGGCCAGGTACTGTGGCTGTCCTGAGGGTGTCGCCCCTCCAGCGCCTCCCTCGGGTTCAGGCGGAGCGTGACTGGGATGACAGGCAGCAGGCTGATGTACCTAGAGCCGGACAGCGGGCGACCTCAGAGGAGATGCTCTCAGAAGGATCCCTCCTGCTGCTGCCCTGGCCCCGTCCCCATCTCCAAGCAGGACTCAGCTCAACCCACCAAACTCCAAAAGCACCCTCTCAGGCCAGTGTTCCCAGCGTGAGGGGTGTCCAGCCTAGCTCTGACACCCCAGTCTTGCTGTCAGACACCAGCACCCAAGCAGCCATCACTGCAGTGTGGGCTGTCTCCCCCCTCCCAACTCAAGCAGCCAAAGGGCCGACAGCAGACTCCCCAGAGCAAGGCCCTAGGGCCACTGTCGCGTTGTGCCTGTTTGGAGCCCTACTTCCTACCGCACCGCCATCTAAGTTTTAATTACTAGAAAGGAAACACAGAATTCAAGCTAGTGGATCCCCACCTGATGGGAAGGGAGGCCCTGGGAACAGTGAGCAGACACCACCAAGTGAGGAGGTGGCAACTGGCACAACCTAACTCACCTCTTGGCCAGCGTGATGTTGTAGTAGCTGAAGAGTGTAGGCCAGTGGCGGAAGGACAATTTCCTCCAAAGTTCCTCATCCTCAGGCCCCCAGGTTACCTCTGGGGCTGGGCTGTCATGAACACCTTCTGCTGGCCCCCCAGGCTCAGGCAGCTCCCCTGGCAATGTCTGATTCTCAGGTAACTTAGGGGCATCAGGTGGGAAGATGGAGAAGGCAGGGTCCGGGTGGCTGGCAGGCAGTACTCCACTAGGCACTGGCATGGAAGCGAGGGCACCCTCACCCAGTGGACTCTGTTCTGTCACTTGGGCAGCGAGGTAGGTGCGCAGCCCTGCTGGGTCTGTGTACACTAGGATGCCAATCCAGACAACGGTGCCGGCCTGCAGAGAGGCATCGGGTGCTCAGTGGCACCTCTGAGAGGGATGAACAGCCCCAAGCCCTATCAGCAGTGGCCCTTAGACTGGAAGGAGGCAGCACAGGGACCTAGGCCTAGGAATGGGAAGAGGACACAGGGCCTCGTCTGTCCTTTATTGCTTCCCCAAGTCTTCCTGCTAACACCAGGGACCAAGCATCATTGGAGGGACCTGGTTCCCTTCCCATGATCAGGGTTTGGTTTTCCTAGCCTGAAATTCAGAGGAACACTCTTAGTTTTGATAGAAAACTTCCCTATCACCAATCCCTATCTCTGCTGGGCCAGGAAGCAACTACCATTTCCATGGTCAGCATGGCCAAAGGAACTGCTGCCTGATGTGCTCTGGAGCCATCCAGGGATCCTAGTACTCAGAGGGCCTTAGCCTCGCTCCCCTCACTTCAACTCCTTGGGAGAGGTTCTGTTGGCCAGCAGCCAACCCTGCTCCTGTTTCGCCCACTGCATAGCAGCCGATGAGCTGACTTGGGCAACCAGGGTGGTTCTGTCCCCAAGCATTACATCTAGCAGACTCCTGTCCTGGGACACTGTGGGGAGACACTGACTCCTCTGCCTGATGACCCCGGGGATACATCACCTCAGAAACCAACAGGGTTCAGGCAGGTAGGGGTGATGGGTAGCTCCCCAGAGCCAGGCTACAAGGGACTTCAGAATATACCCCACCTCCAAGGCAAAGGACAACACTCAAGAGCAAATTGAGTGTGGGCCTTTGGAGGATGCTGGGCAGGTACCATGATTAGCCGTTGTGCCAGGCGGGTGCGGGCCAGGAAGTAGATGACACGCAGCCTCTTGGGGAGCCGCAGGTTTCGGAAGGAAGAGGGTTGCAGTGTGATGGTGTGGGGTGTGGATGGCCTCACAGCCAGCTGCCGCTCGAAGCGCACTTGCTGCCCCACTGGCTTAGCTGAGGGTAGGCAGGCCTCAGGGGGCAGCCGCTTGTTCAGATCCGCTAGCTGTTGGGGACACAGCAGTCAGGGCCAAGGCTGTTGTCCACAGGCTGCCAACCCTACCCAAGGTTTGTAGCTCTTTCACCCAGTGATCCCCTGAGCACAGCCAGGGCTGAGGAGGAGGTGGGCGGGGCAGGGCTTGGCCCACTCCTACCTCCATCCGGCGAATGTCAATGGACAGGACAGTGGTGAAAAACAGCATCTGAAGGAAGAAGTCAGATACAAGGCCCACGACGGCAAAGAGACAAAACTCCTATAATCAAAGCATATACGAGGATATCATGACCTTATGGCCCACACCCGAGAGAAGCACATGCCTGCCTGCTGACACCTCAGAATCTGCAGGGCAGTGGCAGACAGGACACAACAAAGACAAAGAAAAAAAAGATGCTGGATCTGGGAGTGGCCAAGGAGGGACAGGGTCAACAACTCCCTCCCTCCCCACCAGGGGGCAGCAGAAACTGCTCGTACTACTACAAAGAACTGACAGATGGATGCTCCCTCCGAGCTTGTAATCTCCCTAGAGAGTAGGGATTGATCCACATTGGAAACCTTAAGTCCCACAGAGCCCCTGGCCCTGCCTGGGTGCCATGAACCCAGAGCCCAGGACTCTCAAAGTTTTCTGGCCAGCGATCACACTGGGCCAATGAAGGGAGGGAAAGAGGGCTGGAGGGAATGAATTCTGCCCTAAAACAAAGATAGTGGTCTCTGCTACCCAAGCTCTGTTGACAGAATTGTCTCAGATTCAAGTTTTCCTACCAACCCCCCTGGCAAATCACTACAGCTTCGTCTCAAATCTGGGGTAAGATGATGTAGATTTGCACACGGTGGTGTCAGCTCCAATGTTCCAAGACTACAATGCATCCAGCAGATGCCCTATAGGCGACCCGGGCGGGGAGTCTGGTGCCCTTGTGCACTCTGCTCATCCCCACACCTCACCAGGCCTCCTGCCAACCCCCGGGAAAGACAGGGATGAGATGATTTGTCCCTCCCTTTATGCAACAACTCTCAGAATGGTCAGCAAGAGTCTGGGCTTCTACATCAGTGAAGGTCCGCTTCTACCTCTGCTCACGGCCTCACAGCTGAGTAAGGAAGGTCACCTTGCTAAGAGCAAGGCAATGGTTAGTAGCCCTGCTATGGGGCCTTACCTGGATGGCGGGCACTAGGGTGAAATAGCCAATGAGGATGATGCCTAGTTCTGTGGCCATGTTCTTCATGATGGACCAGCTCTCACTGCTTAGGCCTGCAGAAGACAACAGGGCCATGGGACCAGCATATAACACCCACCTATGACATGTGTGCACCAACTTTGTGGTCCTCAGAAGGTAGAGGCATGAGTGAGGCATCGAGCATTCTGAGGCAACCAATCCACCAAAGTGGTCCAACCCTCAAGACCCTGCCAATGCTAGGGCTCCAAAGAGCTGTCCCACAGTTGCTGCAGGAAAGGGGTACAGGGGAAAGCTATAACCATCAGAAGGAGAAGTAGGCTGCCATATGAATAAACCCAAAAGGAAAGCCAAGTGCTACCCACTCTGGCATATCCAGCCTCCAAAGACTGTTCTTGTCTGACCTGCTGAGGCACGGCCTGAGCCTGCCTGTCATGTGGAAGAATGGTCTGAGGGCAGAAGACCTAGCTGTGTTCCTCCTCAAGCCTCTCCCCACAAGAGCCTGGGCCCCACACAAACACATGGTTGCACATGTAAGGCCCCGAGTGCCTAGTGTGGAGGGGCCATTTCCTCTCAGCTCAGAACAGCTAGTGGAGGGCCTGGCCCTGTATTCACTGCCGTTTTTTGAGTATATGAATACCTTGTTTCTCACAACTGAGAGGTTAGGAGCAGGAGGTGCAAGAGTTCAGACCTCTAGTTCTAGATTCTCTTTGCTCTGTCTCCTAGACCCTCAGAGGTCACAGGGAGCTTTTCTGGCAACTGTGGAAACAGCATCTCTGAAGTGACCAGCCTTAGGGGCCCAACCCACCAGCCCCTAGCGGGTGAGGCAAGAGGAGAAAACAAGTGTAGCCTGGGCAAAGGGCCACATACACACAAGCCCTATAGCAGTGTCTGGTTTGCTTTCTTACTGAATATGAACCTGGACAAAGTATAGTCCAGTGACCCACTGGGTCCTCAGGGCACATGCTAACAAGCTGCCAGGACCTAGTGGACCACCCCATATTATACTGGAGGTCAGAGCAAGAGAGGTTTCTGGGCTCCTGTTTCCATGGCCAGAAAAGTCCCTCTCCTACCCTAGCGCACACCGACACACTCCCTGAGTTACCTTGGGCGATGCGCAGTTTCACCTCGAGGTCCACTGGGGTGGAGACCACTGACTTGGTGAGCACCAACACGTTCTCTAACCCAATAACCACCACGAGGTAGGGGAAAATCTCACTGGGAAGAGAGAAAAAGGGTGAAGACCACACTGAGGGGGGCCTTTAACACATCTGATTCTCAAAATTTGGGGCCCAGGGCGGCTCTGGGATTTTCTGCCTATAGAGGAAGCTGCTAAGCAACTACACAGCACAGGACAGAATCCCCATTCTCACCCAACAGGGCCTCTGTCTGCATGGCTCCCAGCTTCCAGGGAGGTTTCAAAGCTTTACTAATGGGCTAGCCACCATCCCATCTCCAGCCAGCCAGTCAGCACAGTGCAAGAAGGGCCAGTAGAGGCCCCCCCCTGCTACCACAGCACAGCTTACGCCAGACTCTGCTGGCCAGAGAAAATGATGATGGCCAAGACCCCATAGCAGCACCCCATACAGACCTAACTGTAAAGGGGATGAGACCAGCCTAAAGCTCTACTTACTTCTGTGGAGAAGCTGTGCTTAGAGAAGAACAACTCTTCCTAAAGAAAATTCTATTGGTTGCAAGAGACCACAGCCTCACACTGCTTCCAAGAGATGAAGAGGGAAGTCCATGCACAAGAACACCCATGCGGGTGCACTTCACCAGGATCCCTATGGTGGAGCGGTGCATGCAAGGGCTCTGAGGAGTGCACAGCAGCAGCTACAGGGGTTAGGGGTGTTTAGCTCCGTCAAATTCAGGAAAGGAAGTGGGTATTCTATGAGCTAGGAAAGTAACAGACACAAAACACAAAATCTTTGTTCCTGTGACCAATCTGAAAAGCCAGGGTGCGGAACGACAAACTGATAGTAACCCGGAACAGACAGGCACGTGGGGCCAAACCTAAGTTAAGGACAAACTCAGGGAAGGGCTTCCAGACAAGATTCAGAGAGAAATGGCAAGGGAAAGCAAGAGTAGAAAGATGACAAATTAGATGACAAAGTGTATCTCTTAAACAGCTCTCTCTAAAATGACCTATTAGGCACTTAAATGTATTAATAGTGAAAAGGAAGAAATATACCCTTCTTGATCTTACAATCATCTGACTTTCATCATATAGGAACAGTATTCATGTGTATATATAACGTACACGCACACCCACACACACATGTGCGTACAAGCACACATGTAGCACAGCCAATATACACACACATATATACATACCCCAATCACACAAATACACACATGCCTGAGTGTGTACACACGTAATTATTATTTGCATATACAGATATATTTTATATACACACATACATATATATGAGAAAAGGTAACTAAAAAGAACAAAAAAAAGGTAATGGGAAGATAGGGTGTAACTGCAAGCATCCAGTCCAGGGCAGCCCACATGCCCAGAGGTAGGAGGCGATCTGGCCTGAGGGCTCACCCTGTGGCCCAGTGGACCTGCTGGGGACCTACCCGCCATTGAGAGTGGGTGTCAGGCCGAAGAGAGTGCAGAGCCCCACAGACATGAGCAGCGAGCTGAGCACTGTGACCACGGCAGCCAGAGCCAGCCCCCACTTGGACTTGACCATGTCGATCTTGCCTAAAGGGCAAAGAGGGCACGTCAGGGCAGCACCTCCCCCAGACCCCAGCCCAAACCAGCCCTTCCTAACTAAGCTCCTAGGTGTAGAGTATGCCCTGACAATTGAGGAAGGGAAGACCCTTGGTTTAACCAAAAGCAAAGGACAACCATATACACTTCTCAGTCTTAGGACCCGGTGTGCCTTTGGGAACACCAGCCCGGAAAGTTTCTTTTCCTAAGAAGCTAAAGGGACCCTAAGCACACCCAAGTCCCTGCCAAGGGCGGGGGTTGGGGAAGGGAACTCTAAACCCCTGGCCCTTGTGACCACCAGATGTGTTCTACATATCTGCCCAAGCCACCTCCAGAGGAAGGGGACAAGTGATCTGGAAATGCCTGTTAGTTGGAGAAAGCCCCCAGTCCCCTGCTGTGAACCTACGTGTGGAGAAGTAGATGTAGGCAAACAAGATGATGTAGGTGGTCACAAGGGGGATGAGCTCAGCAATGCCAATCTCCTCCTTGAAGTGCACATGGACCAGGCTCTCCGCTCGAAGGCTGCAGTTGGGACTGGGGTGCAGGAGCATCAGGCGCGCCCGCAAGCTGCCCAGGAACCTAGTCATGGAGCAGGATGGGGTAGATAGATTGTCCCTCTTGTTCCAGGGGACAAAGACAATCCCTGGGAGAAGGGTACATCGGGGAGCTCACCCCAATGTCTAAGCTTTCCTAACAGTCTCTAAGAGCATTGCAAGAAAGACAAAGTCAAGTTGTCATAGGAGCCCCCCATTCCTTCCTCTGCAACACTCTCCCAACCTATCATACCACTTAGACTGTAAAGGCCCAGGATAGCCTACTGAAGGCCCCTCAAGTGTCCTTGCTCTTGTTGGGGAGATGCCTGCAGCCGTCTGTTGAGGACTCTGAGGCCACATGGAATTCAGTGGTGACTATCTTGGGACTTGTCCCCTAGGGTAAGAGAGACCAGTGGAGGCACCAGGACACTGAATTCATCAGTCCTGCCTTAGTTCCTTATTCTTAGCTGGCTCTCAGGTCATCCCAACTCAAATGTGAGCAGACAGCAGCCTTCAGTCTAAAGGATACAACTTCAACACATAACTTAAAAACTGCAAGTTCTCAGGGAGACATTCTGGACACTAACATGAACGGGGACTAGCCAAAGTCCCATGTTCTATACCTGTCGGGAGCCCAGGGTGTTGACAAATCTTACTTGGCATGGTAGTGCTGGAAGACCAGGGTAATGGTGTATGAGACCATTCTCTTCCTGGTATAGAGGCTCATCCCGCTGTACTTTCCAGGAACACCAAACAGCAAGTCTGCAGACAGAAATCAGCAGGTGCTAATGAAGGAATGGCAGCCACTATGGAGTCAGCAAGGGTCCCTCCCCACCCCCACCTTAGATACAAGGGGTAACCCCTAATCTGTCAGAGCACCCATCAAAGAGAACATGGTGACCGACAGGTATGCCCCTCTGGTTCCTTCTCAGGGCATTTGCCCTGGGGGCAACCTTTGAGCGTGGCTGAAGTCTGCAGGGTTTTAGGCTCATGCTGGTGAATGGTCCTGATGATGTCAGGATCAGTGTGGAAGCGTTCCCGGTCATTCTGCCAGAAGTTCCCAGGGGACAGCAGCAGGCATCCATGTTCAGGGAGGAGGTTCCGGAGCTTCCTGAGACCTGGCAGGAGGTCAGTCACTTGCAGACACACTTCCTCCAGGCTCCTGGTCCCAGAGCTGTGTAGGAGACAGGACAAGGCACTTGCTGTGTCTGCCAGCACAGGCAGGCCCAGTGCACCTATAGGATTCCCAGATGCCTAGTATCTTGAAGACTGAGGATTAGGGCAGCAGGGGAAAGCTCTTACAGGTGGTCAACAAACCATGCAGCTGTCTAACCTTCAAAGTGCATCTGGAGCCCAAAGGCCTGTCACCGCTGAGGAGAGGCAAATTCTGGGAGCATGCACAGCTCTGCCCACTAAAGCACTTTGGCCAATTCAGTGGGCAAAAGGAATAGATCAAAATTAGGGGCTTGCTGGCCTCCCTGGTGGTGCAAGGGGTTAAGCACCGCACTATGAAGCAATCCGCAGCCTCTGCAGCACAAGTTCAATCCCCAGGTAGCCAGAGAGAAACCCACATGGCGAGGCAGACCTCTCCTGTCTCGCCCACTGCTCCCCTCAGCAGTGTATTTCAGTCAGTCTGCCTGTTCTGTTCCCCACTCTGTCTCTGGTGAATCCTTTCACCCACCCCGCATCTCTGGCCTATACCCCAGCTCTTATATGCATAAATAAATCTTTAAAAAAAAAAATTAGGGGCTTGCTTTCATTCACCAAAATGCCTGTCAAAGCCCACAGTCACCTAAAGCCCAGTGGTGAAATAGCCTGCAAAGTCAGCAAAATCCAGAGACCCACTGGTGGACTGGAGAGTACCACCTGGGCTGGTGCTTCAGAAGTATATCCCCAGGCACAGCTTCTCTTCAAGCACAGCCCCCACCACTCCATTCATATCTCCTAAACCTCGGGCAGAAAGTCAGTGGGTCCTCAGTCAGCTCATTAGAGGGCCAGCCTGGTGGACATTGTGTCTGAGACCTGAGACAAAGTTTTCAGGATCAGGGAGGAGGCATTCCAGTCATTTGCTCAGGTCAAGGGAACTCAGCCCCAGTGGACTCATAGGAAGTTAACAAATGCAAAGTTGGCTCATCCACCATCCTTCCTGCTTACTCAATTTCTACAGAGCTGGCTGGCTCACTTGACTGCCACAGAGGACTTCACTTTCCCTTTAGTACGTAACAGGACCCAGGGAGGCTGGGGTTCCAGAGAGGAATACCTGTCTCTCAGCACATGGTTCCGGATCTCCTCCACCAGCTGAAAAGCCCGAGACAGAGGTGAGCGGAACACATCTACTGCCAGGAGGTTCTTGTGCCAGGGAGATACTGAGGACTTCACAAATATCTGCTGGATATAAGCCACCGGGGCACCCACATACTGCAGAAGATATGGAGGAGAGGTAGGAAGGTTAGCTTAGCATAGGAAGGAAAAATATGGGCCCATATTTAATAAGAATTTTCCCTCTCTCCCCCCACTAAGGATTTTACTAAGCATCTAGTATGGGCAAAGCACTGTGGGACCAACAGGATAGGTCTTCAAAAAATGAAGTAGTCTATAAGGTGCCTTTTTTACCACTGATGAACCACTTTTCTACACATTTCCCAAAAGACCACTCAATAGACCAGGCTTCCATAAACTTTCCAGCACCTGTTTTTCTAAATCAGTTTTACTGGAATGCAGCCCCACCCGCTGCTCTGAAGTGGCTACAGCTGCTTTCAGACAACAACAAAGAGGTGAGTGGTCACAAGAAGTCACATAACCCACAAATCTTAAACCCTATCTAACCCTTTATGGAAAATGCCTGGTGTCATCAAAATAGACCATAAGTGCCACAAAGGGTGTAGCCTGTCATTGATCCTGGTTTTGCCACTTTCAGGGCAGCAGCTTTTGAAGATCAAAAGACCCAATTCTACATCCCAGTTCTTCACATTCACTCTACATTCTTCAACGTGAAAAGGGGATGATGACATTCACTGTACACACACACATGCACACACTGACACATGTAATCACATGTATAAAAACAGCGTATACAGAGAAGTACTCATGCAAATATTTGTGATAAACAGTGTGGCAGAATGGTAGGACGAGGACTCACACACAGGTCTCTTGTCAACATCAATACTTTTCTCACTAGAATCTGCCATCTGTCCTTAAAGAGCTGTCAGTCACTTAAGTAATCAAAGTGTTCTCCATGATGGACATGTCATGAAGCACCCCCAAAATGAGGTACTGGATGAGTCATGGCAGCGAAGAGCTGTGTGGAGCCACGAGGCAGGGAAGAACTGATGGGAGAGGGGCAGGAGGTGTCTCTGAGGAGCAAGGGAAATTAAGAGCACAGTCTTATCACAAAGGAGTCCTGCAAGGTAGTAATGGAAAGCACAGCTAAAACGAGAGGTGGCCAGGATGAAGTCCGAATGTGCTGTCTGGATTTTAACCAGTTGACAAAGTCCTTGAGACTTTGACCTGACAGAGGCAGTGCTCTGGAAGACAACCCTGGAGTTATGGTCTCATCTAACTGTAAAGACGGAAGACTGCCCACACTCATGGTGCAGGCTGGAAGGATAGGGGGTTATCTCTATGCCTGTTCCACACTAAGGCAGGTGTGTAGATGAAAGCAAGGTGTTACAGCCACTCGATGATGCTGTACCTGAGATTACTGCACAAGCATAGGTAAGATGCTGAATATGGGGCCTCCTTGGTGGCCTAGAGGTTAAATCTCAGTGCTATCACTGCTACAGCCTGAGTTTGATCCCCAGTCAGGGAGCTAACCCACATGGCGCAGCAGACCTCTCCTGTCTCACCCACTGCTCCCCTCAGCAGTGTATTTCAATAGATGTGCCTGTTTTGCTCCCCACTTTGTCTCTGTTGAATCCTCTCACCCTCCCCCGCACCTGTAGCTTACACCCCAGTTCTTGTATGCATTAATTGGAAAAAACCTTTCAGGAAAAAAAAAAAGATGCTGAACTGGCATCCCATGGTAACACCTCCTGGGCCCAAGCACCAAGAAACAATCTGAAGCAACCTTCTGAGATTTTGTGAAGTTTATGTTTATGACATTGTCTTAGTGAAGGCTCTGGGGACAGAAAGCCTCACCCACACTGTCTCCTGCATCAGACTCAGCCCAATAGAAGCTGCAGGAGGTACAGAGGCTCTGACCTGAATCTCAGGTCAGGGGCTCAAGGCACCACACCGGCCAGTGAATGGGAGGAACTATCCAGAGACAAAGAGTTCCTCATGCAGAGCTATTCTCAGGGGCATTATTCTCAAATCCTGTGAAGAACACAGCATGTCACCTGGGTATTGCACAGCTTCAAGGAGCATCTAGTTCTGGTTTGTTACCATTGGGCACAAGGCTGTGATTCTGCACATACCCCTCCTCTGTCCACTGCCCACAGTGGGTGGAGTCTAGATGACCCTGGGCACAGAAAGGAGTCCTCCCTAGATGGAGGCTGTGGCAGGCAGCTTTCTAATGTGACCTCAGTGATCCCCACCTCTTGGTGCTCCTGCCCATGTGAATTCACCTTTGACAGTGAGCTGAGCCCAGCAACTTGTTTCTGACAAACAGAAAAGCAAAAGTAATAAGACGTCATTTCTGAGATTAGGTTATAAAAAACTATAACCCTTAAGGAGCCTTATGCTACATGAAATAAACCACACACACACAAATACTATATGAAAACAAAACAAAAAATATATATGATTCAACTTATATGAGGTACCGAAGTAGTTAAATTCATAGTGACAGCAGAATGGTGGTGTTCAGGGGCTGAAGGGACGAGGAAATGGGAGTTAGTGTTTAACAGAGAATTTATGTTTTATAAGATGTAGTTATGGAGACTGGATGGTAGTGATGGATATACAATGTTAAGTATGTATTTAATAACCAGCTGTATGTTTAAAAATGGTTACAATGTTAGGGGGAAAGGATGTCCTGAGCTAATTCCATACAGGCTTTGTGGACTCCACCCCCACTCCAGACCAAAGCCATCAGGACAGTGGGAAAGACGAATCCTGTCACCACCAAAGGGAAGGTGGCTGGGACCTGAGGGTGGAGTTAAGCAGCCAGGGTTGGTATAAAAAACCAAACACGTGGGCCTTGGTGGGGCTCGCTCTCTCACTTGCCTCCTGGCTTCACGGCTCCTGGCTCGCGGCCAGCTCTCAGAGCGCCATTTGGGATTCCTGATCGGCGGATCGGGTAGGACTCATTTAAAACTTTGTCTCCCACTTTTCTCCCTGAGTTGTACATTTCCTCATTTCCCCTTCCCTTGTAAATAAACCTTTTATTAACCTTTCGCGTGTGCCTGCAGTAGAGTATTAATAAGTCCTTAAAAGCGTGCGGGTGAGGACCCACAGTCAGGCACCCCGTTTTGTATCAGGGCTGCCCTGTAACAACAATAGTAAATTTTAATGTGTACTTTACCTCAATAAAAATAACTGGAGGGCCTCCCTGGTGGCGCAGTGGTTGAACACTGGGTTGCAAAGCTGCCCGCAGCCTCTGCAGCGCCGGTTCGATCCCCGGCTGCTCCCCGGCCACCGGAGGAGGGTCCCACATGGCGTGTAGACCTCTCCTGCCGCCCGCTGCTCCCCTCAGCAGTGTACTTCGGTCCTTCTGCCTGCTCTGCTCCCCGCTCTGGCTCTGGAGAATTCTCTCACCCTCCCGCGCTTCTGACTGTACCCAGTGCTTGTATAAATAAATAAATAAATCTTTAAAAACAAAAACAAAACCTAGTAAGGAATGGGGTACCATAGTCCAACAGCCTCAGGAACTTGCTGACAACCAGTCTTCAAGCTTGGAAGAAGATTCCCTCCCCCTACTCTAGCAGAGCTTTGAGATGACTGCAGCCTTGACTGATAGCACGAATGCAGCCTGTAAGAGACCCTGAGCAAGAGGATCCAGATAAGAAAACTAAAGACTCAGAGAGATAAAAGGATGTGTCAAGGACACACAGCTGACTAGCAGCCCAGGGCTGCCCTATTCCCAAATTCCCAAATCTGTTGGTTTTTTTTTTTTTTTTCTTTACTACAGTCAACCTGCCTGGGTGGTACTGAACCATGGGAGTTTCCATGGAGAACAAGACACAATGAAAGGGCCCAAAACAAGCAATATAGGAGAGGAGCTGTAGTCTTGGGAGCCCAAAGTCTGTGTCCACCATGGTTCACAGCATGAGGCCCCTAACCTGAGCGCCTTAGAAACTGCATCCGGGCTCAGGCAGCCACCACAAAATGCTGCAATGTTGGTCCTGGAAGTCCAGCCACCTCTGCAGACCTGCAGGTAGGGCTTGGCTTGAGGTTCGGGTTTCTGAGATGACCTGGTTGAGGGGAGCACAAGCTGCTCTTGCTGCTTCTTGTTTCTTTCTTTTTAAAAAAGATTTATTTTTTTTATTTATTTATGCATACAAGAACTGTATGCCAGAGTTGTGGGAGTGAGAGGATTAATCAGAGACAGAGTGGGGAGCAAAACAGGGTTTTTACTGAAATACACTGCTGAGGGGAGCAGGGGTGAGACCAAAGAGGTCTGCTGTGCCATGTGGGCCAGCTCCAGGCTGGGGATCAAACTATTGCTGTAGTGGCTGGGGACAGCTTGATAATGCTGAGACTTTAACCCCTGCGCCACCAGTTTATATATTTTTTCCAAACATTAACACCTGTGCCTATTACTGCTTCTTTTTTTAGAAAATAATCCTTCCTTCATATTTATGCAGAACCCCCTAGACTTCCAGGTATTTTACCTTTACACTGACACACCTGTGGGCTCCCTTCAGTACATGATACAGAGGATTGCTGTTACTCGAGTCTTCTGAAAAACAGGGTTTCTGATCTTTGTCTTCCAGTCCTGAGCAGGATTGGTGTGGTGCGGTGTGGTACAGTGTGAAGTATGTGGTGTAGTAGGGGGGACAGGTTCAGGGGACCCAACTGGGTTCAACTTCCAGCTCTAGTCTTGGCTGTGTATCTTGGACAAGGTTCTCTACATTCTCCAAGCCACAGTCCCTTCCTTACTGAGGGATATGGGAGTAAAATCTCAGACCTAGACCTTCCCAGATCAATGGTCCAAACAAAAAGATATACACAACCACTCAGCAAAGTGTCTGGCTGAAAACATGTTAGTTATATCTAGTTTATATATAATTTAATAGCTTACATATTATTTATAATATAAATACATTAAAATATATAATATATATTATATATAATTTAATAGTTTACATATTATTTAATAAAACTATTAAAACTGAACTTGGCAACTCCTTAAAACCAATCTCTCCTCCTTTTTCATACCCTTACTCTTCCAATACCTTCTGTCCTAGGCACAGTCATTTCAGTCTGTTTCTCCAAGTTCAGTAAGATTGGCCTTCTTACCATGATCTTTAGCATGT